AGTTTTTCTTTATACAGACTTATTATCAAGTGCAGTGTCTCTAAACACACTGCATTCTATAGAGGAAACACATGATCTGTCTATGACACTAGCACAGTCAAAGACAAACAAACAGCTTTGTGCCAGTTGATCTGACAGAACAGAGCCCAATTTTAGTACCAATATATTTACCGGTACCTAACCTGGCTGAATTTCTTAAATAAACTTGACCAGCTTCCAGAGTTGGAACTGTCCATTATCAATTTTGGGGATATCAAGATCAAAATTTGAAGTTGGTAAGCTAACAGGACAAGTTCATTCAACATGTTTAGTAAAGGACAACAATTCAAGAGGCACAGGAAATAATTTCATGATTTCATTTTTAAACAAGAACTGTCGGAGGACAGTAACGCTCGACTATTCGAAAATTTGTCACAAAGGTGTTTCATTGAGTATAATAATGCTTACCTATATGAATACATAAAATTGTCCAAAAATGTACAAACCATTCAAGTTTCAATACATTCCCTTCAGTAGTTATGGAGATACCAGCTTACATACAAAAACTTAACCAAGAATTTCTAAGTCAAAAAAGGGGCATAATTATGTAAAAAAGCAAATCAGAGTTATTGGACTTGTGCCAATTATCTTAGATAATCACAGAGAACAAGTGTGTGAAGTTTCAATCCATTCCCTTCAGTAGTTATGGAGATACCAGCTTACATGCAAAAACTTAACCAAGAATTTCTAAGTCGAAAAAGGGGCATAATTATGTAAAAAAGCAAATCAGAGTTATGGGACTTGTGCCAATCATCTTAGATAATCACAGAGAACAAGTGTGTGAAGTTTCAATCCATTCCCTTCAGTAGTTATGGAGATACCAGCTTACATACAAAAACTTAACCAAGAATTTCTAAGTCGAAAAAGGGGCATAATTATGTAAAAAAGCAAATCAGAGTTATGGGACTTGTGCCAATCATCTAAGATAATCACAGAGAACAAGTGTGTGAAGTTTCAATCCATTCCCTTCAGTAGTTATGGAGATACCAGCTTACATACAAAAACTTAACCAAGAATTTCTAAGTCGAAAAAGGGGCATAATTATGTAAAAAAGCAAATCAGAGTTATGGGACTTGTGCCAATCATCTTAGATAATCATACAGAATAAGTGTGTGAAGTTTCAATCCATTCCCTTCAGTAGTTATGGAGATACCAGCTTACATACAAAAACTTAACCAAGAATTTCTAAGTCGAAAAAGGGGCATAATTATGTAAAAAAGCAAATCAGAGTTATGGGACTTGTGCCAATCATCTAAGATAATCACAGAGAACAAGTGTGTGAAGTTTCAATCCATTCCCTTCAGTAGTTATGGAGATACCAGCTTACATACAAAAACTTAACCACAGGGACGCCGACGCCGACAAATGGGTGACTGCATTAGCTCGATTATTCTGCGAATAGTCGAGCTAAAAATAATTGTGTTTCTTTCCATAATGCAAAACAGAAAAGTTTTATAATTTATCATTTCAAAAATGATGTGAGAAAGTGTTTCTATATTATGCATAATTATTGAACACAACTTTTGACACCAAGGCAATGTATGCATTGTGTAAAACTTCTAACAGACCCTAGTCTTTTTTTTTCTCTTTAAAAAAAATAAATAAAAAATACTACTGCTAAATATTTATTGAAAGCAGGCAAAGAGCCTTAAATGATATTGAATGACAAGAAAGATAAAATGGTTAAAGGTTAAAACAAACATGTGATTGTTCATGTACAGAATAAACAAAGAGTTAAATCTGACTAAACATTTCAGAAATAAATGAAAAAATGAAAAAAAAAACCATATAAAACTATAAAACAGAATATAAAAGTTAATAAAAAATCTATGCAAAATCAAACCATTATAAAATAAGGATTCTTAAAAAGCCTTTGCTATATATATATGAGTTTTGTTTAAAATCAATTAAAGCTTGATGTTAAATGGTTTAAAACTAATGTAAAGTACAGAGATATAAGGCCTCAAAGCAAGCACTTAATTACTGAAAAAGTAGTCTTTTCTTAAACAGTGAAAAAGATGCTGATAAACGGTTACCATATCAAGTCTGTTGAATGATATATTTATTTAGGAGATATAGTATTCATTCATGAATCGGTAAGTAATCATTTTGTATGTTCAAACTTCCATTTCCTTTATATACCTTTGTCAAAAACTAGCAACAAAAAAATCTTAACTTAAACTGTGATACTGCAGTTGCATAGAACCTAGGTTGGACCTGGCTAAGGGACCGTGTAGATAGATTTTGTTAAGGTTTTTCTTGTTAGGATGATATTATGAATCATTTGATAACACTTATGCCTTAAATAATTTTTTAACACATTCTGACCTGACTTGCCTATGTCACATGTATAAACCGGCCAGGCCAGAATATAATGCTATAATGAAGTCTGACCAGTTTCAGTACACTTGGTTTCTGTATTTATAACATAATAATATAAAAATCCCTAAGAGGTTTCTGCATTGTAACTTAATTGAGTTTAAAATGAGTTTACATTAAGACATAACAGTAACCATAATGTATAAGAAAAGCTTGAGATTTCAGACATGAACTTTTTACATAAACTGCAACATTATGTTGTTACCAAAAACAAAACACCAACAAAATGATACAAACACATACAATGGATTTCTCTCAAAAATGATTTTCACGAGATATGATAAAATGATCAGAAAATAAATATACATGGAATGTTAATAGTTTGATATATGAATAATCTCTAATGAAGAACTTGTTCTAGAAACACTCATCTTTAAAACAATTTCTATACACTGATATAAAATTGCTGCAACTCTGACACTACAACAGGGTCAATGACAAGTAAAATTTTCTAAGTTTTCATAATTTCTCTAGTTTCAACATCAGATCAAACTTATGTTAACATGTTAATAAAGCTGTTGAGCTTCTCAAAATCACAAACAATTCCATTTCATACGCTTACTAATAGTAGTGTCAGGACACTAAAAAGGACTTAATTAAAACAATGATCAATAGGTTTTGAGACCAAATATTGGCCTCTAGACTTCTGATCCATCAAATTATAACTGGAGATATTCTCTATGCTCACATTCAAATCTCAACTATCTGATTGGTCAGAAACTGCCACAGAATGTACACTGACATTTGTGAGATTTGAAACAAAACTCAGAAAAAAGTTTTATAACCCTGAGGCCAGATTGTAGGGATAGACTAGAAGATAAATATACAGATAATAGATATACTGACAAACTAATTAATATTCCACTGAATATTTGGTGTATTCCGGATAATTCCAATATTTGGTGTATTCCGGATAATTCCAATATTTGGTGTTTAAAAATTTCTTCCTTCTGGCAAATTGGAAATGATATAAATCATGAATACTTAATTAATAAGACATGTCACAGGATCAATGCACACAGGTAATTTTGCACCATATCCAGGCTGTCCAGCACCATCTGACAAAAAATTAGGGCAAATTTTAGGGCAATTTTTAAGAAATTTAAGGGCTAAAATTAGGAATTTTAGGGTAAGTAAAAGAAATTTTAGGGCTAAAATTTGGAATTTTGTAACTTAATTATAGCCCCAAAAGACCATGATATGGGCTCAACTTATAACATAGGTGTCTACCAGTGTTCCATAGTCACCCGTGAATAAATGGATTCACTGGGTCAACTGCCTTTAACTACCTACTATAAATAAGAGCTGAAAAACTTTACTACATTAAAACATAACTAGAATGAAAACATTTTTTAAAGTTATGAGTATCCTGGAACAACCAATATTCAATTAGTTAAACTGTTATTTGCCAATAGTAAATGGAAGGGGAAAATTATGCTTTAAATATATTCTAGCTATATTATTAATGCATAAAAATTTATATTTATCAACATTTATTCATTTTAAGGTTGGTACATTTTGAACAAGTCTTGATCCTTCATAAAAAATGATAATGATGGATATGATCCACTTAGGTCATTCCCAGGTATATTTTAACCTAAATTCAAACAGCAGGGTATTCACCACTGAAGAATTTGTTCAAGATAAATCAGGGCTACTAAAAATTGAAGAAAATTTCGCAACAGAGTCAATCTATTCAATGATTTTTAACAGTTATTTTCCAGATTAAAAAAAACATACACTAAATGTTATTTCATATTTACAGTACATTGCATTGGTATGACTAATGTTAATGTGTACAAAAAAGGCAGATGAAGGTGTCACTTCTTACATTGTAGTATCGGGGTGCAAAATGGTAAAAGTATCCAATCATTACAGATCTGCCAGCTGATATCACTTAAAAAAGATCTATTCTACAGACATTAATTGAAAATAACTTGATAACAAATTAAGATTTAATTAATAAAGAACCCCTATGTAAATTCTGATGAAATTTAGTGGTACCTTTAAATACACCTAAGACTGAGGTAAATTTTACAGTCATCACTTGAAAATAACTTAATAACAAATTAAAATTTTATTAAAAAGGTCCCCTACATAAAGTCTGATGAACTTTAGTGGTACCTTTAAAAACACCTAAGACTGAGGTAAATCATTTAGGTAAAACCTTGTAGCAAATAAAAAAATATAACTTGCTTGGAATTTTTTTTATCTCCATTTTAAACAAGTGACTATTTTGATATAGTCAAAGTGGGACAATTTTGATTGTTCCATTTTGATAACATTTGGCAATTAATCAAGTATGGCATTTCTGCAAGAGTTAAGAACAACTTACAAGTGACTTTATGTAATTTAGTCAGACATATTACATCACTGACTGTGTTAAAAGTCAAGTTTTTATTGAAAAACGGTTGTTTCGGGATATGTTATAACAAAAGATAAAAAAAATATGAATTTCAGTGAAAAAATAGGACATTTTTAGGAATTCCCTTTGAATTTTTCATTTTTTTAGGAATTTTAGCCAAACTGAAAAAAATTAGGATTTTTTAGGAATTTTAGGGACGCTGGACAGCCTGCATATCACTAAAATTATATAAATACACTTATTTACATGGCAATAATAATGCTGCATAAAAATCTGACTAAATACATTTACAACATACATATACAACCTTCAACATTCAGGAAACAATATTCTTCATAACATTCATGAGAACAACAGAATTTTAGTTCTTGAATAACAAAAGATACATTGATTAACACTATTAAAGTGTATAAAGCTATATATCTGCTGCCTGCAGTTTAAAAAATTATTTTATAAGTTAAGAAAACAAAACTTCCAAAATATTTGTATGCAAGAAGTACGAGTATGTTTTTATGTTTCCTTTAGAAAGAATGGAGCTTGCATGAAATCATTGCTTAACCTATTTCAAATAGCAGCATAACATTTTGTTCCAGAACATTTTATTCTGTTTACGTGTCATATTCATGAGTATTAAATAACACAAGACATTCTAGGTTACAACTCTTTCGACAATCAACCATAAGGTTATAGAAACAACATAACTTTACCATTTATGAATTCTATAAAAATATTTCATTAGATATATCTTTATACCATTTAACATTTTAACAACTTTTCCACTTTTAACATCCGACCTCTTGACCTCATAATGCCACCAGTAAAGCCAGGCCTGCCCGCACTTCGTCATGATAACCAGATTCTATGCTGTTACATTGTATTTTGAATAATCGCATAATTAAAATTTATTAAATGTATGACAAAAACTTTCAAAAAGTCCATTATACAAATATATGTATAGGAGAGTAAAAATCAAAACAGTTGATGTTCTAACTTGAGCAATCAACCATAATTATGTGATACTTTTAATCAGTAATTTGTTATTGATTGACAAGTCATACTGATCATCTAGGCAAGAAATAAATTTGTTCTTAATAGGGCCTGTACATACATATACAACATTACCAGCATGTATAAAATTACTCTACAACTGCTCTACAAAGTGAAAATTTATCTAGCAGGTGGCTTCTTTAAACTCTGAACATTAAGTACATGTCACCTTGAGAAACAGGTTTTATGTTATAATTATATTCAAAGATAAATGCTTAATACAAGTGGCTTTTAAGGCAAGTTTCAATGCGAAAAGTTAAAATATATTTAAGCAGAAAAGAAGCAAACAAGCTCGACAACAATCAAAATTTGCTTTAAAACTAAACACTCTCAGAATTTTTTCCAATTCTAACACAACCTATATAACACATAACAACACGAAAATTGTAAAATAAATATCATCACTATTTCAGTAGACTCCTTGTTGGTTTTTCAAATTCTATATCACTTTCACTGTCGTCATCATTTAATCTTACAACAGTGTCTCCATTATTAGCAGTGTGTATAAGGCGTTTCATTGCTATTCCATCATCTTCTATATAAGTGCCAAATTTACGATGAAACACTGCTACAATTCCGCCAATTCCTAGAATAGCCAGCATATCAACTGCAGCGTGCCAAGCAAAAATCATCGTGGCGATCATCATCTGCTCATGATCGTCTTCATTCCAACGGAACGAACTTTCAAATGGTGGATAAAGTATCCATCCAACTTGCCAAAACCAAGTTCCTTGTAAAAGAGTCATATACGAGCGTGAAAGAGCACATGGTAAACTATTTCTATAATTCATCTCTAGTAAAACAGATATGATTGATGCTACTATAACATATAATAATAGTGTATGTAAAAGAACATCTAAATCTGTCCGTCCATGAAGATGGAATTTAAAAAGTACAAACTCGCAAGTCACTGCCATTGCTACTGCAATGTAATCCATATTTGGCGGGACCGGACATTTGTAATAAATTAGAATATCTACAATGCCCGTAAACCCAAAAAAGAAAAACATAGTTGCATGTTGCCCATTTCCTATATTCACAAAGCGCCATTCTTTGGAAAACCCTGTGTAAATTTCTAGAAAAAATCCCACTGACACAAACAAAAGTTTTAAATAGGCCTCCACTGGCCAGTCCCTGAACTTTCCACATAGACAACTACATTTAAATATAGCCGATGAAGTGAATTTGGAATTTCTTTTCTTAGCCGTGTAATAGCGATGAAACATTTGAATCGACCACCAGAGGGCAAACACTATGAAGAATGAACCAGGTAGAGCATGGCCACCGAAGTTTCCCATTGTTGAATGACGTTACCAGTAATACTCCAGTCCTAGTTTAGATATCTGAAAATATACAAAAGATAGCATTATTAATTCTGAATAAAAAATCTCTTTTTTTTTAAAAATCATAAACTTACTGGTCAGTCAGTCGTTCTTCCAAGGTGCTTTTATACGTCTGAGGTCACCTCCACCATTCTAGAATTCACTGATTTATTTTCAACTGGTTTAACATGTACTAGTATTTACCTGAATGAGTTTTGAAGTATTGGTGTATCTGACAATGTGAAACAGCCAATTAAGGTTAGATTATAGGCTGGTGTCATATATCAGATCAATCTTCCAACCATTCGCTAATTAACTGTTGTCATTATCTTGATAAGATGTCCATAACATAACTACATCTATTTCAACTGCTTTCACTCTCTCAGTATTTTTGTAAACAACGATCAACATGTTATTGACTTATATTATCTTAAGTGCTGCTTCACAAACTATTATTCTTACGACCATCACCACACATTTGAATTATAAATCTAAAAAATGAAATTTCCGCAATAAAAGGCGAAAAATATATCCAAATAATATATCCCAGTCTAAAAAAGTATTACTTCTACAATATAATACTCTACATCAGACAATCAGTCAATGAAAATGGGACAAGTCATTTCACAAATATTTGAAATTCCAATAGCAAAGTATTAAGCAATGTTTTCACTGTGATATCGTAGTAAATCAGGTGTTATGAAGAGCTTACAACAATAACATAGGATAGTTTATTGATAACTTTAATTGTAAATATTGAATAACTGCTTAGGTGATGAATGACAAATACAGTTATGTTCATAATCCACTGTTTTACGCATTAACTTCATGCAGAATCTTTCCATTTGAAAGACCCAGCTTTATGACAACAGAAATAAATGTAATTATGTTAAATTGCAGTAAACTTAATTACAGATATTATTTACAACTGAATACAAAACCTGAAAAAAAATCTGTTGTGGCAAATTTGAAATTTTCATTGCTAAAAATGGTACAGGGCTCTCGCAACTGGTTGATTTGAGTGACTCTGTCACCTTAAGTAATTCTGAACTCTGCTTGGACTGACAGAGAGGTGACTTTTCCTTTCTGAAATTTTGGTTTAGCTAGAGCCCTATAACAGACTTGTCAAAATTGCTTTGATATTTTAAGTGTCACCATTGTTATTTTTAGGAGTTTAAACATTTTATACATGTATAATGTATACATTATATAACAAATATACAAATTAAGAGCTAACTTATAAGGGTATTAAAATGAGGGCTTAAAAATTTCTTATTCATTAGGATGTTATAAAAATTATAATACATTTTATAGTAAACAATAAAAATGTTTGAAAAAGTTATTCTAAAATAATCAGTACATAAAGATTATTATTCATTAAGCTTACTTGAAATCCAGATTATTGTTGGTATTGAGAGTAAAAAGTGAGACATAGTTATAAATGGGAAGGCTAAAATAATGTTCCATTTATTAACTGATTTTCACTGATTTTTAATGTCAAATTTGGGAACAAAATTTCAAATTATTTCACAACATTCCTCTCTTCAAAAATTGAATACTTTCCCCCTATTTCTGAAAAAAATCCCCTCCAAAAGTAAAATACTTTTAAGGTCCATTTATTCTTTGTCCTTCATGATAAGAAAGGCTAAGAGGAACATTGGTGTTTGAAAAAAAATGGTAACATATCACAATTTTTCATAAAACAATATTTTTTCTGTTTCTAAATTTTCCCCTATTTTATCCCTGCAAAACAAAATTTCCCCTCTTTCGTTATTGGCCCTGTCTACATTCCCCTAAAAGTGAAAAAATATCACAGATAATTTTTATCAGTACACTCTTTTATCACAAAATTTTATCCTTGAAATTAGCTAAAATAAACATGTCCAAAATGTAAACACTTCACTCACATTTAAAATGCTCAATTTTAACAGATAATTTGCCAATTTTAATGTCCAAGCAACAATACAGTACTTAATTGATCATGGCACACACATTTTCTATCACAATGAAAATGTACAACAAAATGTAATTAAAATCAAATTAAACAAAAGACATGTAGAGATGACGAAAAAAACCTTGTGATTTTGACAGATTGTTTGTCAATATAATTATATCCTGTAGTCGAAAACAATAAAAAAAAACTTTTTTTTCTTTCGTGGCACATGATCAAACAATATAACATTCTCCATTGTATATACAGACATCACACTTTATTGATCATGGAAAACCCATTTATAAAATACAAATGAAATGAGCCGCGTCACAACAAAACTAACATAGTGCGTTTGCGACCAGCATGGATCCAGACCAGCCTGCGCATCTGCTGGTCGCAAACGCACTATGTTGGTTTTGTTGTGACGCGGCTCAAATGTTGTTATAAATTAGATTAATAAATCCTATTTACAGAACACCACAAATCTCTGAAAACACTCTTTGTTAAAATGTCATGTGCTAATTGATCAATTTTCCGATAGAAATGAAACTTCGGGAAGTCTTATATTGATTCAATTCTTTTCTGATAAGTCAAAGAAAAATCCCGATTTTGACAAGAATATCCATTCTTATAATATCATTTTGTAATGAATTTCACATTAGCAAAACAACTTACATGTAAGTTACATATCCTAGAACATGATTGTAGTCTGATTCCAAATTAATAAAAAAAAACACGGCAGTCTGAAGGACAGCTAAATTCCCTTCCGCTGTAAACATGTTTGTGTTTCTTGACCTATAACCAACCATGACCTTGATGTTGTGCCATGCATATCATAAGCACATAGTCTCACAATAGTGATTAAATGTGCCAATTTATTTTAAATCTTCCATAAAGTCAAAAAAAAGGAGAAGGTATAACCTTGACCATGGGGGTAGCAACTTGGATGTTGTGCTCTGCACATTGTGTCATGGTGGGAATCATTTGTGCAGAGTAATTTTAAAACCAGAAGTTAAAGAGCGGACATGAAAAATAGATGTTTTTACATTGGACCTTCGAGTGTGACCCTGACCTTGAGGGTTGTGACTTGATTATTGTGCTTTACCAATGGTGTCATAATGGTAATCATTTCTGCCAAGTTATCTCAAAAGCATTGCAGCAGTTTAAATGTTATGGAGTGGATATGAAATGTAGACTTTATAACATGTGACCTTTAATGGTGACCTTGACCTTGGGGGTAGCATCCCAATTATTGTGCTCTGCACATGGTCTCAAAATGGTGATCACTTGTGCCATGTTATCTCAAAATTTTTCAAGAGGTTTAAGTTATAGAGCGGACACGAAATGTAGACTTTTAACATTTGACCTCAGTGTTTTTTTTCACCAAAATATTCGGCGAAATTCTCCCCATTCCCCACTCAAAATAGTATGTTTTTTTCCCCCCTCAAAGCTGAAATTTCCCCCTATAATATGGCAGCCCAAGTTTGCCTGCAATAAATATCATTTTTTTGCAACTAACTGCCGAAAAATGCTTTATTTTATGCCTGTAAGACTTACTGTTAAGCAAGGTTTTTCATATAGGTAAGGGGAGCTACTCCTGGTATCCCACCAAGTTTATCATGTGACACATCAATATTTTAGATCCGTATAAAAATCCCCCTCCTATTGCATTTTTCCCCCTCCAATGGGCACTGACCCCCTTCCCCCAAAAGTGAAAAAAAACACTGGACCTTTAAGTGTGACCTTGACCATGGAATGGCAACCCAATTATTGCACTCTGCACATAGTCTGAAAATGGTGATCAGTTGTGCCAAGTTATTTCAAAAAATTTTCAGAGAGTAAAAATGTTTGGGAGTGGACACCAATGTAGACTTTTAAACATTTGACCTTTAACTGTGACCTTGACCTAGGGGGTAGCAATCCAATTATTGCGCTTTGCACATCATTTCATAATGATGATCACTTGTGCCAAGTTATTTTAAAAACTTTTCAGCGGTTTAAAAGTTATGGAGCGGACACGAAATGTACACTTTACACACTTGACCTTTAAGAGTGACATTGACCTTGGGGGTAGCAAACAAATTATTGAGCTCTGCACATAGTCTCATAATGGTGATCACTTGTGCCAAGTTATTTAAAAAAAAAAAAATTCAGTGGTTGAGCTGAGACACGAAATGTAAACTTTTTAACACTTGACCTTTAAGTGTGACCTTGAACTTGGGGGTAGCAACCCCGCAATTATTGCGCTCTGCACTATGTCTTATTATGGTGATCACTTGTGCCAAGTAATATTTTAAAACTTTTCAGCAGTTTAAAAGTTATGGAGCCGACACAAAAGTTTTACGGACAGACGAACAGAAAGATGGACGGACGCCATTCCTATAATCCCCTCCCCGCTATGCGGAAGGCGATAAAAAAATATATATATATTTACAGTTTTACATTTAGCTCAGCATCCCACATTTTCTAGTCCAAAATAGATTCCAAACAATCATTTACCTGACTTTGAGTACTGTCATTGTCCTTCTACGTTAATTATTTCCAGCCACAAGAGAATGATTTGATTTTATTGGTAGATATGACTGTAATATAGAACGATTCTACTTACTCCGCAGTAATTACGATATATTTACACTCATGTAACTTTTAATTCCACCTAAGATAATATATATTAGATCAATAATTATGTAACAGAATGTCATAAACTATAGAAGAGCTTGGAGCTTGTTGCCTAGAAACAAAATAAACTTTTAGAAAATATATTCTATCATGATGACAGAAGCAATAATATCTCAATTCTTATCTTTGAAATTTATAGCCAATCTAGAAAGACAATTTTCTATCAATTTAAGCAGCATTAATGATGTGTTATCTCTATTTTTTCTGAAAAATTATTTATAACCTAAATAAGTGTTGCTAAAATATACCAATATTTTCCTCGGATCTCTAAGTCTGACCTTGACCTTTGACTTTAGAGACCTGGTTCTTTCAACATCACTTTGTCCCTGATAATAATGGCGGTGATCATCAAAATATCATGTAGTACAAATGAAAATGCATGAAGAAATACAATTTGTAATACTAAGATACATACCCATAATGTAAAGATATGCTCCAGACAAAATCTGGGCATTTTGTCATCTCTGGTGACCTTGAACTTGCATAATGACCCGAGTAATACTTTTGATTACAGTAATTTTCATCACTGTGAACAATTTTGATATAACCCCACAATTCAAAACTAAAGTCAAATGTCCATAAAAGCATTTTCATACTTTAACCTAACTTTTGATATCTATGTGTTACATTGAGTCTAAGCCTGGCTCTACACTGAAGGCTGATTTTTATATAAAATTTCATGAATATACAAATGTACAAGTGGAAAGTTCCAAATTCCATGACACAACTTCAGCATTGTGTAGGTTTAAACTCCTCTTTCAGCCTATCATAATGCAAAGATATTAAAATTATAAATTGCCCAGACTCTTTCTAAAAGCATTCATTACATGAAAATTCATTTAGAGCCCGGCACAGGTTTTCCTG